GAGTGAGCGGGCAGCGGGGGGGGGGGGGGGGGGGGGGGGCAGAGAACCATAATTCCGAGACACGGCCGTCGAAGTTTGTAGCCCTGTGCAATATTTAGCGTTATCAAGATTACTTCGTGCAGACCATGAATAAAGGTCTTGCTCAAACTTAACCCAACAGCTAGTCAACGCATGTCTATTTCGCGCGGTAAAAAAACACACGCAACCCGCACCACTAGCATAAAGCTCACGGTGCAGGAGCAGCCCTGGGCTTGCGAGTGGGCGACGCGGCGGGTGCTCTCAGTACAACCCTCAACGCGTGAGTAAAGAAATTGAGCCCCCCAAAAAGACAAAATTGAAGAACTTGAGCACCGTCTGTGAGCTCGGTTGAGAACCCCTACACTACAAGCTATATAGCGACCACTCGTAGCATGACCCTAGGAAAACGGTAAAGAACCCCAGCCTCGGCCGAAACTATAATAGAGGTTCTGGAGTGCGGGCGCGTTCTGTATGTCTATGCAACCTGCGCCACTAACGCAAACATAAAAACCTGACCTTGCGGGGGCAGCCCTGGACTTGAGGGTGGAAGACGCGGGTGCTCTCGCTGCTGCGGCGGCGCTGGCTGTGCTGCTGCTGCTTGCGCCCCCCCTCGCAGCGCTGGCGGCCGGGCGAGATGCGCGCGACGCCGCCTGTCCCCCAACAGGCCTCCTGCCGTCCACAACGAGAACGAAAAAAGAGGCCCCCCGACGGACATGTTAAACACACAACTACTTCCAAGTACACACGTTAAGTACACACGTTATTGCTCGTACCTTTTCGGCCTTTATTTAATCTGGAGAATTATGTAGTATATGGGTATTATTGAAAAACGATCACGCCACTGCAACAACCGTCACAAAGCAAGAGCAGAGCAGACAGCAACGCCATCAAACAACAAAGAGGCGACAACGGTAACGACAACAACAACCGCCCTTCTCACCTTGCCCCCCCACCGCCATACTTCGCTCCTCCTCTGCCCTTGCTGCGACGCTCAACGGCATCGTAGCCCTCCATCGCCCCGGTGGTGTCGTGGAAGTTCTTGAACCACTGTTGTCATTGGTGTTTCGTATATAGTCCGGGCCAGCAACAAAAAAAAAGAAGAGGTCCAGCCGCTGTCAATGGCTACTCAAGAGCGAGGCCTTGAACTCGTCCGAGGACGTCTAGTCTTTGCCCGGGCGGACACTCTGGACCTCCGTGGAAAGGTTTCAACGCGGCGCTCCGCTTGTTAGAAAAGTCGAACATGGCGACATGGAACATCCAAGGAAAAAAAAAACGCTGCTGTGTCTTCGTCTCTCTCTCTCTCTCTCTCTCTCTCTCTCTCTCTCTCTCTCTCTCTCTCTCTCTCTCTCTCTCTCTCTCTCTCTCTCTGTCCAATAAGCCTCGGGTTTTCGCGACCGAAGCCTGTCTGATCCGCTCCCCAGCTAAAAAAACTAGAGATAAGCACCACTGAAAATAATCAGCTCATTTAGATCGCACGGAGATTGAAGCAAAACACTGACAAAACAAAATTAAGCAAGAACGAAAACATGTATTATGTTTACCTGCATGAACTCGAGGTTGTCCATGTACTTCCCCCTCGTCAGCCGCTGAACGTCGATGTGCTTGTCGATATGAAGGCGGTCGAACGCCGATTGGAGCACCTGCACAACACACAGCAGTTGCATGAAAAGGCAAGCAGCGGCTGCGTTGGATCCATGCAGCCGGACATTAGGTAGTAGTAGACCCAACAGCTCAGGGCACAGTAATGCTGCACGTACGGACGCATACATGTCATGTCCTGAACGCAATCTACAAGGCCAAGTTCCTGAACCTACAAGACCAACTTCTTGAGCAGCAGCAGAGGCATGCTTGTGCATGCCACTTGCGTATCAACGAATCGACCACGCTGACCGTTCGACAAAAATAGCGCCAATCTCACAAGGACAGCATAATCACCATTTCCATTCCGCGTGCCCCCCCCCCCCCCCCCACACAGGGAGAAACCGTTAAGAAGAAGGAAAAAAAA